CCCCCCCCCCCCCCGGACCAGATTACTGGGCCCCTCCAGCTCTCCCCCACAACCCCCCACTGGACCAATGGGCCTCTGCAGCCCTGCATTCCCCCCCCCCTCGGCCCCCCACAGCTCCCCCGCCCCAGGCGCGACTCACCCCCAGCCTCTCCAGCGAGCAGCCGTAGTTCTGCTTCTGCAGCTGGCCATTGCGCCGCACCTCGGAGCCGGCCACCAGCCAGGTGGCCTTGGAGTGCAGCTCCAGCAGGGAGGCTGGCAGCCCTGTGGCCGCGTAGGGCACCTCGGAGGGCAGCAACGTGGTCAGCCCCACGTGGAAGGAGCCCGACCACTTCTCGTCCAGCTCCTCGATCTTCACCTGCAGGGGGACGGGAGCACGGGGCACAGGTCACCAAGCAACGGAGGGGTGGGGGGATCCAGCCTCAAGGTCAGAGATCACTGAGCAATGGGGAGGGACGGGGACAGGGAGTCTGGCTCCAAGGATCAGAGGTCACCAATCAACGGGGGCGGGGGAAGGGAGAGAATCCGGCTGCATGGGTCAGAGGTCACCAATCAACGGGGGGGGGGGAGAATCCGGCTCCAAGGGTCATAGGTCACTGAGCAACCGGGGTGGGGAGGGGAGGAGTCTGGCTCCAAGGGTCAAAGGTCACTGAGCAATGGGGGGGGGGGAAGAGAGGGAGAATCAGGCTCCAAGGGTCAGAGGTCAGCAAGCAACAGGAGCGTGTGAAGATCTGGCTCCAAGGGTCAGGGGTCACTGAGCAATAGGAGGCGGGAACATGAGTGTAGCCCTCACCCCAGAACCAGGCTGGGCACAGCTCCTCCTACTGGCCCCAGGAGGAAGGTATCGGCTGCACTAGCCACCTTAGCTCAGACTCAGCCCCCCCTGGAGATGGGGGCAGCGATCTAGCAGGGGCCGGGCTCCTGCCACTCTGGAGGGGTGGCTGGGGGGTGGGGCAGCAGATACCCCAGCCCGGGGGGAAACTCACCTCAAACACCTCGTCGGCCTTCAGCTCCTTCATGCTGAAGACGATGCCGTGGCAGTAGCCGGCCACGCGCACAGCCCGGCACCCGTCGTCCTGGAAGGCCACGTTCTTCCCGCAGCTGCTGTGGAAGCGGTGAGCCACGCCTGGCACTGTGGGGGGAGACATGGCCATCAACAGCTGGTGGGACGCTGTGGGGCAGGGAGTGGGGTGGGGGGCTCAGCAGGGGGCACTCTCCTCTGGCAGGCAGGGCTGGCCCCAGGGTGGTGCTAGGGTGCGCTGTGGGGCAGGGAGCGCTCTCCCCGGCAGGCTGGGTGGGGCTGCTACCAACAGAGGGGCCCCTGAAGTCAGCACAGAGATGCAGCCAGCTCTGGGGCGGGGCGGGGTGGGGTGGGGCTCTCACCAGGCGAGTGGATGGGGAAGGATTTCTCGGTGATGTTGCTGGTCGACAGGCTGTTGTCCATGGGGCCCGTGGCGCTGGTGATGGACACCTGGACGCACTGGCCGTAGAGATCCACCACGGCGTACACCTCTGCGCCGCGCCGCCAGGGGGAGGGGAGCGGAGCAAAGGGTTAACCGGGCCGCAGCTGCCACATTACCCCCCGCCCCCGATCAGTCCAATGGATCCATCCAGTCTGGTATATTTCCACACCCCCTTTCCAATGAACCCACCCACATCAGTATATCCCCCCCCCCGCCACAAGCCCAATGGGCCCATCCAGGTCCCCCCACCCAGACCCAATGGGCCCAATCCAGCCCATATATCCTCCCCCACTGGATCAGTCCAATGGGCCCATCCAGCCCAATATATTCCCTCCCCCACCTATCAGTCCAATGATCCCATGCATGGGGGAACACGCTGGGCCGGATCAGACCAATAGGCCCGTCCGTGGGGGGGGAGGGGGGAACACACACTGGGCCCGGATCAGACCAAGAGGCCCATTGCTGGGGGTGGGGGGGAGGGAGAGACACAACACAGCGGGCAGGATCAGTCCAACCCACGGTTGCAGGGGGGGGGAGGGGGCGGGCCGGGGCGGCTCACCCTTGGCGGGGGGCAGGCTGGAGCAGGCCACGCCCTGGTCCACGCCGTTGATGAAGTAGTGCAGGTCGCCCTTGGCCGTGCGCATCATGCCGATGCGGGAGCCCGTAGTCAGCGAGTCCAGGTCGCAGCCGTAGTTGTTGCGCATGGTGTTGCCGTCCTGCATGATGGCCGTGCCGCTGGGGGGGGGGGGGGGGG